CATGGACTACCACCTGGTTGGTCCGGGTGTCGAACTGCGAAGTACAGCAGAGGTTTATCCTTCAGCAGGATTTCCCAAGCTGAGAAGGAGTTCGAGGTTTCCGGCTTTTCGGATGCCCAGCTAAGAGTAAACCATGCCAGAAGCACCACCGTCTGGTTGATTCAGTTGCTAAGTGGCTCTCTGATCCACATAAGGTCAGCGATTGCCTGCGAAAGCTTAGCAGGTCCTGGCAAGGCTGCTAATGTTTGGGGGAAAATTTTATTGCTCGTACAGCATGTATGATAAAAAGGAGCCTTGCACACTGGATCACATCTACGGCGTCGGATGTCATCAAGACCAGTGTCAGGTTGCACAGGACGTCATGGTCGGACCAAAAGGACACGTCAAAGACTCGCCAAGGAGATTGTCTCATGCTCTGCACCTACAACGTCAGGAAAGTCTCCACCAATGCCAATCTTCATGCCCTTCTCGAAGCTGCAAGGCGCATCAACTACCACGTAATTGCCTTGCAGGAAACTAAGTCCAGGAAGACGGACGTGAGGCAGCTGAGTGATGGTACACTCATCAGTCGTGGTAAAAAAGTTTCATCACATAACGTTGAAGGCGATAGATTTGTCGTACAATCATCTGTTGTCCATCTTATCAATTCGCATGAGAGCCCGTCAGATGCTTGGCTGTCCTTCTACTCTGTCATCAGAAAATCATCACTATCATCAACTGTCATTCTCCAACATCAGCAGCTGATGATTCGGAACTCGATGCTTTCTAGGAGGACCTTGGAAGTCATCAGCAAAAAAAATCCCTTCTATAAGTTCGTCCTAGGTGAATGTAAAATTCGGGATACCAGAAGAAGTGAGCACAGAATCAAGAGATTTGGATTAAGATCGGAATAAGAATGGTATCTTATTGGGCTCTTAACGCCGCCGACTTTTTTTATAGCAATTCCATCTTTATGAAGAAAGAACACCAGTGGTAGACATGGGAGTCGCCTAACGGTACGGCTGTTGCGGAGATGGACCACAGTCTCACCAAGCGATGGTGTTGCTTACTGGACGTCTCAGTGGTACCTCAGTAGTGGCTCAGATCACCGCCTTCTTCGAGACAGTGCTTCAGCGAAAAGCTGGAAAAGAAGATCTGCCACTGTGTTGGAGGAAGGAGAGAAGTCGTATATGACGGCGTCAGATTAGAAGAGCTCCTGACTACTTGTGACTGGTCGATCAAGAAGGATCCAACGAAAGATTACGGTCTGCTTCTTAGAGGACTGAGAGCCTGTAGTGAAAGTGTCTCAATGTCTCGCATAAGGAACTTGGAACAAATTTCAAAAGCTACCGAGGATTTGCTAGAAAGGAGAGGAGCACTGAGGCTGGATCCGACTGCATTACATCTCGAGCGACTGGTAGCCAGTACCAG